TAATCAGATATTGTTTGCATAAGAAGCCGATGAAGTGAGATAAACCTGGTAGCAAACTCCATGCATGCGAGGGTGTTCCCGGTCGTTACCAAAATATGACTAGCGTGAAATCTGAATATGATTTGGCCTTCTCGCTTCCATAGGTCATTTATCCAACCTGTTCAGTGACCTCCCCCCCCCACATCAACTAAAACGAGGAGAATATAAACTTTTACTTCACACAGTATGCGGTGTATGTGTTATATTAGCCTGAAATCGTCATCGGATTTGACTTGCCCCCAACTGAGGTATAACGACAGCGATGATAGATAGGCACGTCACGTGTGGAGAGAAAATAATTGAAATGTTCAAAACCACCTGCCCTTACTGAGTATTTCTCTCCTCCGTACAAGGCAAGGACAGAAATCCGTTGCTATAGCAACGGTGTTGTATCACCAGACTTGGTCGTAAACTACTCGTGGAGAAATATATATTTAAAATTGTTGCTAGAAACCCTTGAAATGGGCATTGATTCCCCCACACGTGTTGTTCTTAAATCTGGATAAAGTGTATTTACAATGTACATTGTACCAGATCTCAGTACGGAACAATAAACCCATGGACCGACTGTAAACAATTTAATAACTACCTCATAATATGATACTACGACTCCTGACATATATATTTTTAGTACCAGCACTCTGACTTTGCACGAAAATAATACATAAACGCACAGGAACTGTGCGAATAATTTACCTTTAGTAACGAACATTTATTTCAAAAAATAGCAACGAGCACGGATAACTCTTTGTTTTCGTGAACTGTTTTTAATAAAACATTTTGCAATTGAACTTGAGTAATACAGATGTGCTCGCAGTTGGCCCACGGTCAGCAATATTCGAACAACAACAACAACAACAAATAATTCACAAATTCGAAATTCATTAATGACAATTAAGAGCTGCAATTTATTGTGTAAAAAGAGTAACTGGACATCACCGTCGAAATATTTTCATCGTCACCATTGTGGCACCGCTATCGTTACCAGATAATTAAGGGAGAGACAAATCATCACATCAAAAGACAAATTTCAAATTCATTTAATATTTCATCATTATATATATATAGGGCAAGGACTGTGCCATTCATGATACAAGAACTAAAATGATCAACAGGGCAGATAAAAAAACGAGAAAGTATTAAACGAGAAATAAAATAGATCGAGTAATAGGCGAAGTGATTGGGTACTGCAAAGATCATTACTCGGTGTTGCGGAAGTTTGTCGATGGCTGTCAATTATGGCACGCTGTCACGGTGATTAACGTTCTCCGATCGGAGATATAATCTCATTGTTTTATGTCTTAGTGTCACGTCGCCTTGTTCGGCTGTTGCAAGGCTATAGTCAGGTGGTGAGTATATTTGATGCACGATATTTTTTTATCAAAAGTATTTTGTCAAGCAATTGATTCTGTTGTTTTAAAATTAGTGCCGGATGTCACTGTCAATTACAGCCAGGTTTAATTACAACCGGAACGAGTGGTCATTTACGCAATTATACAGTACATCGAAACAAGGGGTAGATGCGACCCAACACCTCATGTGCAGTGACCGTGCTCATCGATCACAACGTACGGATCGGATTCATATCAGGTGCCAAATCGGATTTAGCATCATTAATGTGAATGTACACACGTGTGTTCCTAAGCCTCAATTTTGTCAAACTGATCACTGCATGCAAATTGACTTTTTTCCAAATTAAACAAGCTTGTGAACGGGGGAAATTTGAAATAGTATTAGTCTATTTAGCTATGGACAACAAGATGCTACTAGTGACACGCCCCTCCTTCCGAATAAACGAATGTAGCCACGTGACTGAACTAGTCGCCATGACAACGTATGATTATTATATAGATTGCAAAAACGGCTGCGATTACAGATTTGACTGATAACGAGAACTAGAACAAAGTTTCAGATGTATATATATTTTTTATTTTACCAACAGAAAACAATTAACATTATCCACAATTATTTATAAATCATTTGCAAAAAAAAATTGTCTTTTTAAAAAAATAATGCTTGATTACAAGTCTATACACCAAAGAATATTTGCGCGCGCTCTCTCTCTCTCTCTCTCTCCCTCCCACTCTCTCTCTCTCTCTCTCTCTCTCTCTCTCTCTCTCTCATGGGAAATATACAAAGCTTTGAAATAAACAGATGTTTCTCTTCTGATATCAACTACAACAAACAAACAAACATGTAGCACAGGTACGCATTAACACGTCACAATATCATGAATAAAAACGCTTAATATTTCAAAGTTATTGACGTTTTAAAGATAACATGGAAACATGGAAGTCGAATATTAATATGATATATTTTTGACAATAAATGTTCGTTCGTCTAAAAAACATCCTTGGAAGGCGAGTCGTTTGTTAATGGAAGACGTAGCCACCGGCAATTTGGCATATAATTGTGTATTTTTTATAGAAGGCACTTGAAGATAGAATGTGATATATAAAAAAAGGCACGTTTGGTACTACCATGCCAAGTATACGATGCATCAGTCTAGATAATAGGGCAGAAATTTGATCGGATGTACAGTTTTTTTTAATGTGTAAACATGGCTGTGGCATGACGCTTGTGATATGTGAACAACTTGTGACAAGAGGCCGTTACATTTTTTTAAATAGATATTTGATTCAATTCTGATACGCGTGTTTTGAATTATCGGGCTCGACGTTGCACTGGGTGCCAACAATTGTTCTCGCCCTATCTGGACCACCTCCTCGTAAAGACCTTTTCGAACACATACCGTGCGTAGCGTGTTCATATAATATATATATTCATACATTCATATTTCCCACCAAAGTAAAATAGTGGGTTGAATTGTGCCTATGAGTGAAAAATTGTCATCATTACGATGAATTACTAGATTTAAAAAAGAGACAAGTCCCGCAAATACAGTGTTTGTTAAAATCAATTAATGAAGGCGATATTGGCGGGACTCTGAGCAACTATTTATACGAATGCTTTAGCGTAAAATATGAAAAGAATATAATACAATTACTTACAAATGTCAACAAACTCTAAAATTCTCCTTCGCCGTTCTTATTTTTAAAAAAATCATAAAAGCTCTATTCTGTGATGTGGAATACATTATTGGAAGACACAATTGAAATTTGTCTGTAGAACACACATATTCCAAATAAAACACCCCCCCCCGTCTGTCCGAGTGATCGCTCCCGTATAATTGTTAACCAGAATGTCAATGATATGTAAATGAGCTACGGAATTAGCCTCTCAGGGATGAAGACCTCATTTTCAAAACAAAAAAAAATTCAATTTATCATTATAAAGAAAAACAGACGGCTCAGGCTATTTAGTTGACACAGTCGGAGTTAGTTATGAAAAGAATTACATCAATGGAATATCTTGCGCTACAAGTGTGGGATCGTGTCGCTTTAAAAGGTCGTACAGTCCACACGAGATTCAACGCGCCTATTAAAACTCGTTTTTTACATGACGTTCTACCTGCAACTATGCAAACTGTTCATTCAAAAAAAAAAATAAACTCCCTATTGTTAACCGTACACAATGTGCTGTATCAATTATTTTGCAATGTCTGTCATGTGTTTGATACAATTTCATATAAGGAAATATATTCGTCTATTGTAGTAGGCGAAGGCGAGGGTATTGTTAGATTTGGTCAATCATTTTAGCCGTACCATCATTCCAATTTATACAGAAAAAAATACAGGTACATTACATCGCCAATGTCTGCAGCTCACGTGATACAGTCGGATTACTCTCAAGTTCTAGCCTATTCGTTATATGGCAGGTGTGGTTTCCCGGGTAACCATCATCATGATCGTTGGGTGCTGAGTGTTGTATTTCATACACATCCAAACTATCGGGTAAGGCTCGTCACACTATCGGCTTTTTGGCTATCTTGAAATCGCCAGCTGACTGAGTCGGGCAATTTTCACAGTGCTATCTCTGTGTTATTTAGCGCAGCAAAGTATTTTTTATCCAGTGTCACAATCTGTGTATATAGCGCGCTAAGACTGTATCACAATGAAGGCTATATATTCCTTTTACTGTTCTAAGTGTTGTTCGATTAATACGTTGATCGGCACTTGCCGGTCGTCGGTAGCTTCTGTCTCGATCCAAGCTTCAGCGGCGGCTTCGTCCAACTCTTTGGTTGCCACGCCATTACAATTATTATTTGGTTCATACCCCTTCACATCACCCTGTTTCCTGTCTAACTCGGTCTTCATCTCTGTGATAACTCCAGTCAATGCGGAGATGTAATTTTTGGCAAGCGTAAGAGTCTCAATTTTTGACAATTTGCGCTCACAATTCACGTGGGGTATGACGTCACGGAGATTCTGAAACGCATCATTGAGCGAGTGCATCCGCATTCGTTCTCTCTCGTTGCTTTCCAATCGGCGCAAATTTCTTTCTCTGGCACTTACAGGTCGTCGCCGCCGCGTCATCTTCCTCGCCGATTTAGGAGCTTTCGTTTCTGATATTTCACCGTTTGTGGAACTGGCGGTAGAACTGGCTCTATCCACGGAGCTATCCAACGCATTATCCTCTAGCGAATTCGATCTCTGTAACTGTCGCTTCGACGTTCTTCTTCTCTTTGCCGGCATCTCCTCTTCGTCCATCTCCCAAACCTCGTTGTCGGCAGCATCGTACATACTTTCCTCCATATTGTAATCCATAATGCTGGCTTCTGAATTGAAACCCACGATCTGAAATTTTTACATTGAGATATATATATATAAATACAACACGCTTACACTAACATCTATTTATAACCGAAAATTGCGCTTATAAAATACCCCTACATGTGTCAGAAATTTGCATAACAAAAAAGTCGTACAGTAGTCACGGAAACCGAGGAAAAAAACTGAACGCGCTTTTACAAATTAAACATTTCCGTGTGGCTACAAAAGAAATGCACGTTTTTAGGAAACGCTGAAATAAATACCCTTATGTGACCGGGAACCGTGAAACCAATAAATAAATCCGCCTGGGTCACTAAGGTAGCGTATCGAGAATGGTTTAAACACATGAAATACTAGCACGGACAAGCTAGATTTGAGGACTGATGCAACATCAATAAATAAAAACGAATTAATGCAATAACTGTTCAATATATTTGTGTGACGATATCTACCTGTATGGTATGTTACAGGTTGCCGTCGCACGACATGCCAATCTCGGAAGAGGGAGTAACGGGAGAATGAATGGATGAATGATCGCGATGGGTTCTTTAACTCTAACGTATCTATCAATGAGAATTTCTCTCATCATGCGGAACTGACATTATTGGACATCTATTGACTGTGACGTAACGAGAGAAGGGAGGGGAAGTTACACCGATCTGTGTGCCACGGACGGAGTGAATGGCAAACGGTGGTTGTAACGTTAGGGAGATGTACTCGATTGACAAAATGTAGTCTTACCTTGCTATGCCGTGATGCGGAAAGAGCGATGAAAGATGAAGAGTTGAACAGTAGGGACATACACACAAACGGAGGTACTGCAAATAAAATGGTGGAGGCTTAACGTCGGCGAAGGCAGAAGCAGCTCTCGGATAGATGCAAAATGATGGAATGAGAGAGAGACTAGAAAACCATGTGTAGGTGGTGGGGTGGGCGTACGCCGTCTGCGTAAGCCAACCTCCGTGCAATAGAAGTAAATAAACCACTCAAACGGAAGAAATAATGTATTCGCATCTCGCCCGGCTATTCACAGCGGCAACCAATGAGTCTGGCCGAAACATGACACGTGATTGGCTTAATCCGGTGTGGAATTAAGCGATTGGCTGTCAATATAACGGCTGATTTAAATATTAAATGGTTGATATTCAACCTTCCCTCGCCTATCTCTATCTCAAATGATGATATGTATAAAATTACGGAGCGGTTGAACTGCAGCGGGGTATCAAGTACAATAATTTTTATAATAACTAGGTTCTCGGGTTTCCTAGGAGCATCATACAAATGTATATTTTAAAATGTCGAAAAGAAATATTTGTTATTGTCTTTTTATTTGAGATATTTCATATACTAAATATAGTAATATGATGCGGGGCGACACTGTAACACAAATTCATATATTTACTCATTTTTTTAAAACGTGACGTCATATTTACTGATTGTAAGAATTATAATATTTGTAATCACGTCAAATTGTACAACACTCGAAACTCAGAGAACGCAATTTGTTTTTGTTTTTTAGTTTTGCTCAGTGGCATTAAAAAAGAATTAATTATACGTGAGTGAGTGTATAATAGTTTCGCCCGAGTACTCTATAACTTGTGACAAAAAATAGGTTCAAGTTTGCCTTTAAATACCTCACCGATAGAATTGAATTTCAGTGAGAATGGACCAGAATGTATTACAGATCAAACATGGTCTCAACGTGCATTTGATGGCAATACCACTTCCTGTTGTCCTCGCTGCGGTCCTCGTTAGATATGAAAATTCAATTCATACGTAAATTGAGGACCAATTCACGCTATCAACAAAAAAGTAATTTACATATCCACACAAAGGCCACGTCGCCGGCAAACCGGCGCGATAACAACTTAAACATTTTAAAACAAATACGGCAATATATTACTATTCTATAATACAGATTTGTATTTAACTATGTTACCCCATTCAGTCGAACAGCGTACAATGCTCTGGCGATTAGTGATGAATACGGCTCCGGAGGTACGTGCCAAGGCAAGTGTTGACAAGAAATATTTCATGTTTTATCCTCTGATTCCCTCTCAAATCCGTCATCGATAAAACAAAATCAGAGGTCGGTAATTTATCCTTTATCAACGTTTCAGACATTCACTGAGTCCGTTGATTCCCGAAAAAAAAAGTGTAAAAGTTACCTTACAATCAAAAGCAATTCTCCGTTGTCGTGGTAACTGATGTGAACGTTTGTATTTATCATACCATAATATTTTTAATATTTGTTCCAACGCATTATAATAATTTTCTCCAATTAAACAAACGCTTATAACCAAAAACGACACGACGCGTATACGTTCACACCGTGGTCACAGTGTGTTGTATAATATGCATGACCGAAGGCTAAAATTGTTGGGGAGAAAAAAAACTCACGTCACGTGACATCGTAGTTGTATATGTTGCCGGTATACCCACATAGTTCCAACTATATTGTCCACGTGCTAAAATTAGGAAGCAGCTAGTGCCGCACTATACAAAAATGTAAAAAAGAAGCATAATTTGACAAAGCCAGTGACGGATATAGTTGAAGGATGGAATGACGATTGAGTTGACATGCGTTACGCTGGTACGCTGTCACAAACTGGTAAATTGTACAAAGCTGGTCTACGGTAACTGATGGTTGTAGTATTGCCTTATTGTAGTATAGTATGGGGTACACATGTCGCGTTTAATTTTACAATTTGAGTCCGAAGCTGATATAAATTGAAGGAGGCATTGTGAAATTGATTACGATTTTATTACGTAAACTAGTGTCATGATGTGTATGTACAGCAACACGATCGCACTGTTTTACAGTTCACAACCCTGACAAGACCCAATATAGTTTTTTTTTACAGCGGTTGTTAATCCATAGACCGGTTAATCATTAATAAGCTGTAGTTACGGTTGTGTCGTGTGCGGAGCAAGAGGTCGAGGGGACATTGACCGATGTAGTCTGTTTTTTTATGACAAAAAATAACATTACAAATTGGGAAATTGCATTTTATAATTTTGTTCGCGACTAACGATCTTGATGAATGTTAGGTTTTGATTAATAGAAACTCGTGAACATAGGGTTGATTATGAAAAAAAAATACGCAATTTGAGATTACAGAAACAATATCATAAAAACACACACCTTTTTGACAGAGAAAGGGAAAAAATAGACATCATGCTGAATAAAATTAGCTCAAAATTAAGCGTAGAAACATATATTTTGCACAGATCTTCCCCGATAAAGCTTCAAACGCTCAACCCCGGGCCTTAGTCCATTGTCCGTAACCTTCAAGCGATAGATAAGAAATGAGACTACCGAGCCAACAAAATGTGTCTATATCATCCTGAAATGTTTTTAACTATACACTTGTATTAGGTCTAGATCGGTGATGGTTTCTTCCTCTTATCCATTTTTGTCCTAGTATACTAAGTTTTAACCATACAGGAAGAACCCCCTCCCACACACAAGGGATTGTGGATGACATGACCCGCGCTTACTATAATTGGGTTACGATGCCGATCTCATAAAAATGACGTTATCACTTCTTCTTGTGATTTTCAGAATGAGCTTTTTTTGAAAAAAAAGAAGAATAAATTGGACAAATTAATAATAAAAAAATCAATAAACCGTGTTGCAGTTTGAGTTGGAAGCGTGTCTATTTTTTAGAATGACGTCGAAAATGGTAACGTCATTAAATATATTTATGACATTGTTGAGGTATTTAAGCAGCTCACCAAAGTAACGAAAATGATTGATTCAATAACCAGCACTCTACAAGGTTTTACGTCCCTCGGAGTGATGGAATTCATGAACTGTATATTACTCGAAATGGATCGCTGAGATCCATATCGAACTTGACCCCTCGGAGATTCACCTCGGTTTTTATTCAAAGAAACGCTTTAAAAAGAATAATTATCACAATCAGAATGCAGCGGGGACACTACTTGCTTTTTTTTCAGAATTGATAGGTCAGTTTCCATGGCTTCTCGTTAAAAGCAAGGATTGGAATTTCGGTATACGGGTGATTGTGTTGAATAGTTTAATGACGATTTGCGCTTCGGCAATTCTCAACTACAAGGTGCGCAGTTTGACGTCAGGTGTGCGGGAAATGGAATGAAATATACATTTTTAATTTTTGGATTCTGAAATATGATCGGTAGCCATTTTCTCGCTATTGTTTGTTAGAACTGTTCGATTCCCACCACATTATTCAATGGTGACAATTATTTGTGTCGTTATGAATCGCAGCATTAGTTAAAAATGATGTCGAATAACACATCATGTGGCATGTCCCGTCCATTATCACTGTCAAGTTCTGTCATAACTATGAATGATGTTTTCAATTTTTCTTCGTATTAGAAAATAAATCACTCATCACGCTTCAAACCACTCTTAAACTCCAATATTAAATCGGCTGGTAATTTACAATGAAACGTGCAAAGTTTACGAGCGTACTGTAATTTTCTTCTCCTCTTCCCCCTCTCACTATAGTGTTTCTACTTATGTTAACACTACAGTTTGTTCTATACTGTTTACACACTCTATAACATATTACAAGTAGCTGTGTTCCATTACTGAGTACCGTTACGTGTTACACGTGTAGGTTGAGCGACACCGCGTCGATGATAACGTTCTGTTTAAAGATATAATGTTTACCACGAGGGAATGTAAGTTTCTCTTTATCTGCATGGATAATCTGTCTAATTAAGTTAACATAACAATTGTTAACATTTTGTACTCTGTATGTGTGCATTGAAGCGATACGTATGAGTATGTTAACTTCAAGCTCCCTATTATTTTGTTGCCAAATTCGTGCACATTCCGCACTGTCAACTATGATTTCATACTAAATCTTCCAAGCCCTTTTCTCTAGGGTTGGTGTTACAACAAAATGTGTTATTAAACTGAGCACTCAGTGTATTGGTGTATTCAGGTGTTGATCGCATTGGGACATAGTCCTCAATAATATGCCTGATTA